TTTATCTCCAAGCCTTTAAGACCCCAGATGCGATCTCTTTTGATAACCGGGCACCATCAGCTTTCTTCACCACATTTGCTCATGCACTCGCTTTGTCTTCAGTGATCATGTCGGGAAGGTGTGCATCATGAAATGCCAGTTTAATAGAACAAAGTGTTCTTGCATTGAGGGAGTACTTGAGTGGAGGCCCAATGATCAAGACAGATCTTGATATGTTCTTTTTGACAATGAATGTGACACCATTCCACTTGAATGTGTCATTCACAGTATAGTAAACTGTATTATTGTCTGATTAAAAATGGCCAGTTTGAGTTGATTTCAGCCCATTAATGTCTAGCATTTTGATCTTTATGCATTTCCTTTAATTTTCCTAGTTTTACACTTTTTATGTTCCACCTCCCCATTATTAGTAGATTTTTGAAGCATTTCCCCCCTCATTTTGAGTTATGTTCCATTGGTAAATGAAGGTCCTGGAAGCTTTACTCCAACTGTGTCATTATGACCAACTCTAGTTTGTGAAGTCATCTCTTCTTCAGCTGTGTTTTGAGCACTTCTCACCGGAAGGGCTCATTTCCTGGTACTGTATCTGACAATATTTTGTTACTATGCAAACGTTTCTTGGTACATTTGACAAAGTCCATTTGCTATCCATAGGTTTTCAGTGATTTTCCCACTGAAGTGTACAGCCTATTTCTTCTTCATAGTCTATTCTTCATATACAAGCTCCTCTGAGTCATGTTTACATCCATTGACCCTGCTTACAGCATCACAGCAACATGCAATCCACTGCTATGAGACAAACTGACAGATAAGTGGTGGACTATGGACAGCACTGGTTCTCAAAGCAATACTCGCGGACATGTAGAATCAGTAATCATTTGGGAACAGGATAGAACAAGCTGCCATTGAATGGATGCTGACTCAGGTGTGCCGCATGTAATTCAAGGTAGAATTGCAAACCAATGGATCTTTCCTGGCTATTTTTTTTGAAGTTTATCTAGGTCTATATTCCAAGTTTCCCTTGAATGAATTCTCACAAGTCTATCCTTCGGGGGTTTTTTTGCTGTTAGGTATCATTGTGTGTATTCCAATTCAAAGTGGCCACATGTAACAGAATAGAATTTCCTAGAAGGTTTTCTTGCCTGTAACCCACACAGAACCAGATTTATAGGTCATTTCTCCTGCAGGGTCACTGGGTGGGCGTGAACTACCAACCTTTTGGTTAATAGCAGAGTGCCTAATCACTGTACCACAGGGTTACTTATCCTTTGGGTTAGCAGCCCAATTAATTAATCTTTTTTTAAATGAACATTTTAATGTTACAGAAAATAATATTATGAATACATGGAAACCAACTTTTATTAATTTAATTACTTTTTTTTTTCAGCAGAAAAAAGGATAGTCCCAGCATCAGGTTGAAACAATTGATTTTGCATCCCAAACTCTGGAATCATGATTTTCATGTGAGCATAAACAGAATTTCAGTAGGAAAAATTAATTCCTTTCCTTTATTTTTCATTCCAATTAATCTTTATACCACCAGGAAACTTGGTAGAAGTGCCAATCCTCAGGCTCAGCTCTCCTGAATAGAAACTCTAAGGGTGAGGACAAGCCATCTGTTTTCTAGCAAACTGTCTGGTGCATAATAAAGTCTGAAAACCACGGCTCAATACAATATTACATCAAGAGAATGAAAATATCTGGAATAAAAATCAGTGGTCAATAATTAAACTCTTAATTAAGTAAAATCACCAGACTAAATCAATATAATTAAAACTTTACTACTGTACTATTCCTTGTGAGAACAATAAAGACCAGAGGTGGTTTTATCTCCCAGAGACATGCAATTATAATAAAATAACATTCCATGCATATGTGGATTAATCATGCACAGACTCGGAAATTCAAGATGTGTGTGAATGCCTACTGCATTAAAACCATCCAAAGGTAGGAAACATCGACTCCCAGCCTTCACTTGCACTGCAGTAGCTTTCTTCACGGTACTCCCATCCAGTCAGCCCTCAGCTGGACTTCCTGGTCATCCCCTTATTTGTCCAACTTTCACCCTCCCTTAATCTTTTGGCTTCCCTTCTCACCTTGAAATCATTCTTTTCTTTACACTGCCATAGAGACGATGATAATTTTCAAAAATCATTGGTTTCAAATTTGAAATGAGACCATAGTAATGTCATATCCATATCAGGAGCCTTGGAATAGCCAATGTTCCCATCTCTTGAAAATGGTTTAGTTTTCAAATGACATAGCATTTATTTAAGCCTTCCTGGTTATTAACCAGAACATTCAAACACACCAGCTCTTCTGTGAGGGAAAGATAAGGTAGTCTGCTTCCACAAAAATGGTCTGCTTTGGAATCATGTTGGGGCAATTCTGCTCCATCCTACAG